ACCCTATCCCAGACTAAAATGATACCCTATCCCAGACAAAATGTATGATACCCTATCCCAGACAAAATGTCAAAAAATGATACCCTACCCCAGACCCAAAAGCCGAAAAACCATACCCTATAGGGCGGCACATACCTTATAGCAAATATAGGGGAGTAACCCCCCGGGATGCGAGCTCCAAATGAAAAGTTTCAACCAATATTTGGAGCTCTGCCTACCTGCGCATGTATTTAGGTTTTCTCATATGGTGCAGGATAGAAGAGGATGACGGCAGATTTGGATGGGGAGTTTAGACCATCCACAGCCATATTGTTAGACACAGCCCTACCCTCGGGGGGGGGGGGGGGGTGTAAAAGATGCTGGTTAGCAGTATTGCGGCTGGAAAATTCTTGTTGAACATTATTCCCCTATCAAATACGGTGAAGAACATTCGGTTTTGAAGTTGAAATCAAGTMGGAAAAGAAATTTTCAATCTTCCTGTTGTGTTTACATACATTTCCTCATAAGAGTCTTTCGATTACTAAGAGCGCATTCATCAGAGAACATCTTTGATTTGTCAGGCTGTACATAAGCTGCCAGCTCAAAATAAAATGTTTCGACCACTTTGGAGCTCTCGCTACCCGCGCATGTGGAAAATTTTCTGATATCCTGCAGGATGGAAGAGGATGACGGCATATTTGGATGTAGAGGAAATTTCCAGATCAAACTAGTACTGACTACCATGTGCTATCAGCCAGGAAAAAACTGTTAAAATAAGTCAGCATATCATGGTTGTAGCTGTTCCCCGTAGAATTCTTAGATTAAATTAAAATACTCTACCCCTCCCTGGGATAGTTTAAAAAGTAACGATTCGCTTTTCATTCGCTTTAGTAAATTCCCCCGCACCCTCCCCTCCCCCAATGATTCTGCTACCAGACATAACGTCTGAAAAATATTTACCAGCATGCATATGAGTCTTCAAACAAATATGGCGGACCGAAAAAGAGCTCAYGAAGACGAGAAAGAAGAAGAAAAAATAACAGAGGAAGCGCTTCATGAAAACAAAAAAGCTAAACGAGAAGGCCAAGGAGAAGGCCTAAAGAGTTTTAAGGGGTTTAAAATTACCAAAACTCTCTCAGAGAGTTCTAGTGGAAAGACT